TTAAACTTTATGAACTTCTCATTTCTAGAATTTTCTACTTAATATTTTCAGACCACAATGATGGCTGGTAACTGAAATTGCAGAAAATGAAACCTCAGATGAGTGAGAACTACTATAATCACAGAACTAAAGAATGTTAGTGATATGGAAGAAACTGAGTCAAGTAGAAGTTAACCTGCCTAACACCATTAGCCTCTTAATGGCAAAAACTGAACTTGAACTCTGTCAGTCCTGTAAAGAATGCAGAGCCTTTGATCTATACCAAAGCTTCCCATCTGAAGGCAAGTCTGCTTGGTCTTTGGGAGCTTTGGAAATCTATCTGGCACCAAGAACAAAATAATATAGGTGCTTTCCTCCACATTCCTAATCAATATTCACTGGAGCAAGATCTTCACCTATACTCATCATTGCTTTCAGGAATTAAAGAACCACTGAGTCTCCCTCTCACTTGCCTCTTCAGGCCTCTGAAATGAAAAATTTGCTACCTGTTATATGAAATCCTTCTGCCCCCAAAAGCTTCCAGATTTCACCCTGTGGATAAATCAAAAGAGTTTCCATGTTACTTATATTAGGCAGCCTTTGTTGAAGAAATGTGGTGGAATTTCAAGAGTTGGGATTTTGTTTACAGACTAACTTCAGTGCAGTTTGAAATTGTGGATTTTAGATGTAGCATTGCATGAAAAGTTTGTACTCTACCACACAAGAACTCTTTTTTTCTCAGGCTGGTGGAGTGGCTGAAGTGGTAAGAGCACCTGCCTAGCAAGCATGAGGCCCTGAGTTCAAACCTCAGTGCGACCAAAAGAAAAGAAAATTTTTTTCTCAATTAAACTCCAAGACACTCACACCTACAAACCAGTTGATCACTCCAAAAGCCATTGTTCTGGCCTACTGGCACACAGCCCAATTCTTCAGCTCCTATGACCCAAATGTGGCCTCAAAGGGATTCATTCATTCCACTACACTAGAACCAAAATTCATGTGTGCAGAGAGGGGAGTTGGACTGGGGCACTTACCTGAGTTAGACTGTAAGCAGAGAAGGAAGGTTAAGTACAGCTTGCTTGATATTACATTCCTGCTCTAAATTCTTCAGAGAGAATCACTGCCTGTTGTGTGACATTCTGGATCCCCATTGGGGCTTCCAGAACCCTTATGATAAGATGCCAATCCATTTGTCCTTCTACCCTCCTGCTCCCTGCAGTTATACTATAGTCTAGATTAACCAGACTGTTCTTTGCTTCCTGAACAGTCCAATCACATGACCAACTCCCTACCTTTGCATAAGGAGTCTCCATCCCTAAGATGCTTCACCCCTACTCCATCCCATCCAAAGTACCTCTCCTCTGGAGCCTTTCTTGACTTTTCCTCCAGCCTCTTAGACCACTCCAATGGATGTGACTTCAACTACCATAAAAATTTGTACTTTTTGTAACTTATCCATGGTAATTGTTTTCTAAAGAGTGTGGCAGTAATTTGGGAGTCTGTTTTGCTTTCAACCAACATTAGCTAATAAGCATTTTATTAGGAGTCAAATGCTATGCTGAGTGCCTGGGACACAAAAATGAACAAATACAAGACCTTGCACTCAGTGGGCTTGCAATCCTACAATATAATGTTGCACCCTAGAGCAATGGGAGCCCAGATAAGGGAAGAATTTACTGATCAGAGAAACATGAAAGGGATCATGGCATTTAAATTGGGAAACTTGTTCATTAGGCAAAAAGAAAAAGAAACATGGAGAGCAAGGGAAGGTCCTACTAAGTAAAGAGATCACTGTGAACAACATTCCTCGGATCAGGGTGGGTTACAGGGAAAGTTTACAGTATGAATAAAGCACAAGTTCCAAAATCACAGCACTGTCTGAGCCCCTTCTCTACTTCTATCTGCATTTGCTGAGTACCTATGTGGTTTTCATCCCTCACGCCAATGCCATAAGTTAAGCACCATTATCCTTATTTTGTAGATGAGAAAACTGAGTCTCCCAAGCCCTGAGACCCCAAAGCCATCAAGTGACAGAGTCCAGCCTCAGCTCCTAGTCATACAGGAAATTCACTTTCCAGGAACAACTTGTAGACCAAACTCCTGGCTCTTTTCCTCTAAACCCAGGAAGTTTCTGGGAAAGTGAACTGGGGCAAAGGGAGAAAAACACCTGAAGTTAAACTCCATGCAGATTCTCGGAAGAGCAGGACCCTGTCCTCCTATGGGTCCTGTCAGGGTACCTGGTTTTAGTGGCCCCAAAGGAAGGCCCTTCTTCCTAATTTACAAAAGACAACCCAAAGAGTGGCACCCAAAAGTCACTTCAAGCCAACTCAAGCTCATGAAAGCTCTCCGAGGTCTCAAAGAATTGAATTGGATCTCTGGTTTTCTAGGACAAAGGATTTCAGTTTTGATGGAGTTTGTTCCCCCCTTTTCCTTTGTCTGATCATTTTCTCAATTTCTCTCTTTCTAGTCCAGGCCTTTTCTGTAATACTTGTATTGGGCACACATTTTTTTCCTCCTAGCTGACACTATTATATCTTGCTATTGTGGTGCTCCTTTTCCATTGAAAGCAATCAAAAATGAAAATCCACATTTCAGAACAGCATCTATTAAATACGCACCTTTTTGCAGATAAAAAAGGAAAGCACTCCTGCAGACTGATTTTCAGCTCTGTATATCACCTGCAGACTAGATACTGGGTGAGACTTCTGTTCCTTAACAGGCTATTTGCATGTGGGAATTGAGAGAAAGTCTGGAGTCAGAAGCAACTTACTTTAAGAAATGCCTTAGTCTCAACAACTGCTAATCAAAGTGTGGTCTTTGCACCAATAGCAACTGCTTCCCTTGGTAGCTCATTACAAATACAGACTCTCAGGCCCCACCCCCAGACCAATGGAATCAGAATCTGCCCTTTACCAAGAAGCTCAGGTAATTTGAACATAAATTAAACTTTTAGGAGCTTAGGTCCAGAACTGCTTTTATTGTCATCCTGGATTCTCCACATGGGTTTCTTTCCAAAGAAAGAAAATCTCCATTTAGTAAATTCCACAGGATGTCCCTACTATCCTTTCCAAACTGTTTGTTCATAAAGGAATTCTGAAATCATAAGCATTCTTTGAGAAATCAGTCTCAGCACAAAGGAGTTCGAAGTGAAACAAGGCTGATGGCTGGCTTTCTGTAACTAATGAGTGCATAAAAGGAAAGCGCTCTCAGACTGAGAGGTGACAGGCAACTCTTCTTCCCACCCTCTTTTTCCAGGCTCTGGATCTCTTTGCTTGGCACGTTCTCTCTAGAAAGAGGTGGAAAAGGGTGGAAAAGGACCTGCTGTGACGACCACACAGGTGACTGATGAGTCCGAGGGGGCATGCTGTGCCCGAGCTTAAAAACACAAGCAGGCAGAACCAAGAACACAGCCTTTAAATTCAGGCTGTGCTCAGACCTCACACATCCAATAACAACAGTCCAAACATTTGTAGGTGAGCTCTGACTGACTTATCTGTCATCAACATGGAAGACTCAGACTAGGAAAATGGAAAATCACGTACACCTGGTTGGAGGAAATGGGAGCCAGAACTGAAAGCCAAGAGAAGAGGACAGCAAAGGCCCGCATCTGCTCACTGGTGTCCTGCCCACTGATTTTCATTTGCTTGTGAAGCAGAGCTAGTATCCAAGAAGGGACAGAGGCTCTGTCCGAGCCCTGGCAGATCACACTTATGCTGGCCTGGTCTCATATTTGACCTTGTCCTCCAAGAAGAGGATGTCTGCCCAGAGATATTTCTAAAAAAAAACAAACAAAAAATAAAAAATGAAAAGAGCACCAAAAGTTATTCCTTGTTAAAAAAAGAAAAAAGAAAAATGAGTCCCCACCCTAAGCAAATGTGTTCTTCCTAATTCTGACAGACTTACATATTACAATAAACGCTTTTCTGCTCATAGGCATCTTTCATATGTCTAAGTAGAATGTCTGAGTTATTGATCACTCTGTGGTGTTAAGACCTAACTTGTTATTCTCCTCCCCCACTTTTAATAATTTTTTCCACCTTCTCTTCAGATTTTCTGAAACAGCAATATTTTCAAACATAACAATGGTTTATTTATACCAAGCAACACTTGTTTTTCAACTAATAACAATTCTTTTCTATATTAACGGTATTTCAGCTCTGGGAAAATGATTCTGTCCTTTTAACACATCCACATCAGGAAACTTTCAAAGGAAATTTGGAATAGACAGGAGTGATGAACAGCAGCGAGCATGGTGAGGCAGGGAGATGCTCAAGCTCTGAAAGTCAGACAGGAGGAATCCATCTGTCTTTTTCCACCACAACCAAAAGCTAACCCTCTCCCTCAGAACCAAGTATGTTATAGATTAGCTGCACACAGAGACTGGGGCTATCAATTTTATTTCAGCTAACTTCCACTTCATAGAAGAGCACTTGACTTGATCCCTGCTATAAATCAGACCTAGATGAGCTAAGCAGTTCTCCAGAAATGCACCTGAAGGAAAATCTCAGCATCCCCTCCCACCCCCAACATGCACAGACATGCTTGAACATACCACCTCCAAAGAGAAAGTTAACTTTCAGATAAACCTGTCCTCCAGCCAGCCTGCCCATGTTTTTGAACCTTTCACTTTCTCAGAGGTGATTCTTATAACTCTTGCCTAAATCCAGAGGCCCAAACCTGACCTGTCTGCTTAAGGCATGGATGAGGGTCAGCTCTCTCTCTTACTCTCTCTCTCTCTCTCTGAATGGGCCAGGCTTTATCCTTTATCTCCTTGCTTCAGGGAAGGCAGACTAGACTGTTACTGGGAAGCTTCAGGCAAAATGTGGGTGTTTTAACCTGTATGGGTTCCACAGAGGAATTTTCTGGGAACTCCAGAGGTTTGGAAGAATGTTGGAACACAGGGATCATTCGGTTCTCAGACACCCCAGAGATATGGATTTATAGGTTCGGCTGTCCCGGCAGACTGGCTCCCTTCCCTGCTGACCCACCCCTGGCCCTCCCATCACAGCAGGGTCACTTACCACCAGTGAGCTGTGCAGGGCCGAAGCACAGCGCCAGTTGAAACCACAGGATCACAGCCAAGAGTCTCTGGGGGGACTGAGGCTGCTGCTGCTGCTGCTGCTGCTGCTCTAGAAATCCATCTCCATGGCTCGGGTTCATTCCATGATACATCTTTCATCCACAGAGGGCATCCAGCTTGCAAGAGTCTGCAACCAGGAGCAGAACACGACAATACCTCCGGATTGCCCGGGCTCCAGGGCCACGATCTCCCTCCTCTGCCCGCGAACCAGGTGCCACGGCTTCGGGGACTCCATCGCGGTTCATCCCCGCGCGGCCCCGCCCCCTTTCCCAGGGCAAGGGAACCCCTCCCGCCACCCCCAGCTCGGGGTACACTGAGTAACAGCCGCCGTGGGATGCTGCGCGTGCCGGAGGGATGGAGGAGGGGAGAGGGGGCAGGGGTTAGCGCACATTGGCTCTGCGCTGGTCCCCAGGATTCAGCGGTTGTGACCATGACAGGAAAGTCTAAAGCCTTCTAGCGTCTAGAGGCCGAGAAAACACTTTTCCCCGGGCCTATATTATTTCACTCTTAGGGATCTCACAATGTAGCACCGGCTCCCCCCAGCTACTTCTCTGGTTTTCCAGGGATCGGGAGGGTCCTATTGCCCCAGTCCCCAATAAGATTTCTCTGCGCTGTGGTAAAAAAAAAAAAAATTGCTCTCTTGGGGGGCAGAGCCAGGCGCCAACTCCCCCTGCCCGGCCTGCGCGCGCCTCCCAAGGCTGGAAAGCCCCTGCCTCGCTCTCGGTCTTACCTGTGGGTCTCATGCATGCAGCTTCCTTCCCTCCTCCGCCTCCTCCCCCCGCCAGTCTAACCCGCATCTGTGCGCGACCTCTGCTGCTGCCGCCGCTGCGCGAGCCACAAACGAGCGAACGAGCGAGACAGAAGCCTCGGCGGCGGCGGCGGCGCCCGGCTCCAGCTGCCCCCACCCGCCGCGCTCTCCCTCCCCCGGCTCCGGGAGCCCGAGGGTGCGGGGGTTGCAGGGGGGCGGGGGACGGGGGAGTGGGGGGGACGATCTGCTGCCCGGCCGCGCGCCCCCGGGGAGGCGCCCGCGCGCCCGCTACCTGAGCTTGAGAGCGCGCGGCGGCGCGGAAAAGGGGGAGGGGTCGGAACGGGGGCGCGCGGGGCGGGCGCGCGCTCAGGCCGGCACGCGCCTCCACGGATCCAGTGAGAGCAGCGGCTGGGGAGGGCGAATCGTCGAGTACAGGGAGGAGGAAGGGGCTGCGGCGGCGACCAATGGGAAGCCGGCGCGCCTGCACCTGTCGGGGCGCGAGTCGCTGGCGGCGGTTCACACACACACACACACACACACACACACACGCACACGCACGCGCGCGCGCGCGCGCGCAGCCGCTAGACTGCAGCCCCCTTCTCTGGCTGCGCAGGAGCCCCGGTGCCCGCTGCGGACTCCGCGTGGCCTCTGGTGCCAGCAGAGCGCGCGGCGGCGTGGCGTGGAGATGGCTATATATCTAGGGGTCCCAGGTCCCTGCCCGCGGGTCCCCACCCCAGGACTCTGACCACCGACTGCGTTAACTTGAATGGGACAGGGCGGGGGGCCTCAGATGCAAAAGTCTCACTTGCTTCCCCCCATCCACTTCCGCCTTCTCTTCAGATCCCGCAGGACAACCTGAGGCGCAGGGACACTACTCGTCTCCTCTGCTCCGCTCTGGTGGTTTCCCTTTGCCAGCGGCAGGCGTAGAGCACGCTTGGTCTTCCTTGGAGATGCACTGACCCACATGAGCCTTGGCTTGGGTGGCAGTCCCCCGCGGAGAGGGCACGGTGATGGGTGCCGCAGCAGCAGGACGGGGAGGGGAGGCTTCTGGGGCAGGGACTACGAACCCAAGAGGGTCAGGGATGTTTGTCTTCCCAGTCTCCAGTAGAAAGAGTTCGCTTGGTGGGTGCGCCCTTTGTGGAGTCTGAGCCCAGCCTGCAGCCGGCTAGGCTCTCAATCCCCCTCCCCCGCCCCCGCTCCAGCTCGCAGTCCCCCCTTCCCCCAGGATAGGCCTCCCTCTGCGGGCTGGGCTCCGTGGGCCCATCATCCAACCGCGGTGATTAAGGGGTGTGAGCCAATGAGGTGGTGCTGGCAGGCAGCACTTTAAAACCAGTGACACTCCATTATTCTGTAGCAATTTGTGGATATGAAAACCATGTTTCTGATACAGCCACCAAATCATTCCGTCCTTCTATCGACTTTCCCCAAATCGCACATACTGATGGTAGTTGGGAAATTACAGCTTTTACTGCGGCGACTCTTACCGAGAGTAATTTTAACAAATTCTTGCAGGATAGATTAGCTTTTAGTAGATAAATCAAGCTCAGTATATTTTTTTTCTTTCAATTTGTAAAATTGAGATGGTAGCCTTGCAGAGAATAAGTTTAAGGCGTTGGGTAGCACAAGTGCATTCCTGCTAAAGCGTTTATTTTGAGGCTCTAAAATCTCACTTGGAAGTTTTTCCATGTTCCCAAGTCCTGGATTGTCCTCTACAGATTGAATATTTATTCGTTTTTTCTCAGTAAATGTTCTGCCTCCTTTTACTAGTCCACAAAGCTCAAAACTGTTTGCTGCCCATCATGAGTGTCTACAATCAAGCGAGATAACTGTTTTGTGTTTGTATGTGATGCTGGGAATTGAACCAAGAGCTTTGTTGTGCACTTTAGGCAAGCATTTCACCACTGAGCTATATCCCCAGACCTTTTTAAATTTTTTTAAATTCTGAGACAGGGTCTTTCTAAATTGTCCAGATTGGCCTCAAACTCACTAAGTAGCCCAGGCAGGCCTTGAACTTGCAATCCTCCTGCTTCAGCCTCCTGAGTGGCTGGGATTACAGTATGTACCGCACATCCAGAAAAAGAGATTTACCTGAAATACTATTGAAATCTGCTCTTCAGCTGGAGTACAATACATTTATACAGAGAGCATCAATACCAAAAAGAACATCCAAATTCACTGGGTCCAAAAGGGACCTATGCTTAAGTCCCCACTCTGACACTTCTAAAAAGTGGTCATCTAGTCTTATCCAATTTTTATTTTTATTTTTAATTAATTAATTTATTTGCAGTACTGGGGTTTGAGCTCAGGGCCTCATGCAGGTGCTCTTACCACTTGATCCACTCCACCAGCCCTTTTTTGTGATGGGTGTTTTTGAGATAGGGTCGTCCATACTATTTGCCCAGGACTGGCTTTGAACTTCAGTCCTCCTGATCTCTGCCTCCTAGGCAGTAGCTAGGATTACAGGGATGAGCCTCCAGCGCCTTCTTGAACAGCATTTCATTCATTTGGAGATGGCTTGTGTCCCCTTGACTCTTTCCTTCTCTGGATTATACATTGCCACTTCCTTCAGTGTGACAGTTCACACACTCCTCACCAGCCTATGGGCTTTCTTTGGATGTGACTTAGTTCCTCGATACTCACGCATCTCCAACAAAGTTTGCTTCAAGAGGGACTCTGGGTTCATTCTGGGTTCTGACCAGTGTGTGACAGGACAGACATTCCCTTCATTTTTAAAAAATTTCTTCTATCAATGCAACTGAAGAAGACAAATGGTTTTGGGGAAGAGCAACTGCCAGCATACCATTTTGTTAGTTTTCTACATTATCTCATGTATTAATTTTCTAGAGTTATCATAATAAAATACCACAGACTGGACAACTCAACAACAACAAAAAAAATTCTAATCTTCCCAGTTCTGGAGGCTGAAAGTTCAAGATCAAGGTGTTGCTAGGGTTGGTTTCTTCTGAGGCCTTCCTTGACTTGTAGGTGACCATCTTCTTCCTGTGTGTTCACATAGTCATAATTCTGTGGTGTCTGTGCCTTCATCTTTTCATAAGGGCAGCAGTCAGGTTTGATTAGGGACAACCTTAATAACTTCATTTTAACTTAATTGTGTCTTTAAAGGTCCTCTCTTCAAATATGGTCACATTCTGGGATGCGGGGCGGGGGGGGTTAAAGCTTCATCATAGAAACATGGGAAGCAAGCAGACTGTTCAGTGCATAATCTCATAATAAAAATAAACATCTCATGTTGTACATAGCTCACAGGTGAGGATGGTGAAGACCAAGGAAGTCAATCCGTTTATTCAAGACCATCCTGCCAGTAAAGTCCTCAGACTTGAATCTCATAGATTTTCAACCATTCCATGCTATTTCCATGACTGCCTTTTACCTCAAGGTGTCTACAAAATATGTCATCCCAGATATATTTAGATGTATACTTTTCTCAAAAAGAAGAAGGGAGTGAGGGTGGATGGATGCAGGAGAGAGCATGGCTGGCTTCCAACTGGGTTGTGGGAGAAATGTACTTTCTTTCTCACTTATCTAGACATCATCTCCCAAACCAATACCAATAGAGAGGTGCTAAAACAATGACTCAGAGTCCTTTTTCCAAACACAGGAGAGCCCCAAGGGCATTTGTGGGGGGAATAGAGACCCTACCCTTCCTCTGACTCTTATCCACCCCAGCCATGAACTTCTCCATTGTTTCACTTCCTAATACCCATCATCTCCCTGCCTCCCCCTTGCTGTAAATTGATTTTCAAAACTTACTGAAGCCCCTTCTTCACGGCATAGAGTAGAATTTCATTTTGGGTAACCAATATTATTTTATTCTATATATATTAATTGAGCACCTGCTAAAAACTGGATGCTATTCTAGGTGCTGGAAATGCATGTAGAACAAATTGAAAATTTGCAAAAGTTTGCAATGAACGAGCTCAAAAATCTGGGCCTTCTAAGACCTTATGTTCTAATTAAGGAAGACAGATATAAATGAAAGAAACAAAGCAGTTTGTGGATTAGATGGTAAGTTCTAGGCAAAATAATAAATCAGGGAAGTGTAGAGATGTGCTCAGAGTATATGTGAAGTTGTTGTAATGAAGTGTTCCAAATATACAATAACTAAAATAGAAGTTTATTTCTCTCTCATGTACATCTTACCATTCTTGGTGATGGGACATCTCTGCTCTAGAGTCATCCAAGGAACCACTTTCCCCTATCTCATTACTCTGTGGTCTCCTAAGGTATTGTCTGCATTTGTGTAGTAGAAACTAGATCACTGACATGTTTTGGATCCCACCTGAGGGAAAGTGATTAAAACAAACAAACAAAAGACTAACAATTTCCTTTCAGGTAAGTGAGGCAGAAGTTAAACTACTTCCTTCATAAATGATAACTTGGTCACATGGCCACTTCTAGCTACAAAGAAAACAGAGAAATATAGTATTTATTGGGCAGCCAGGTAACCAAAAGCAAGAAGAGAGTGTGCTTGGAAGGCAGGAGAAACCAGCAGTTTATCGTACCTTCTGAAGAAGGATAGAGGTTGTGATTTTTATAAAGTGGATGGGAAAGCCCTTAGTGAGAAGGTGATATTGAAATAAAAACCTGCACTGGAGGAATAAGCTGCGTAGTTTCCTGAGAGAAAATCATCTCTGACCAGAGGGAACAGCAAATGCAAGATCCCTGGAGCAGGAGCAGTAGTGTCAGAGACAAAAATCAGAAAGGACATTGGTGAAGCCTGAGTGGAATTAGTGATGGGAAGAACCAGAGGGCCAAAGTTGCATAGGTCACCTGGCTGACCTGGAAGAGACCTTGGCAGTGATCTGGTAGAAGATATCATATGGCAAGAAAGCAATGCACCCTTGAATAAGAGGACAACAGAGAGAGAGAGAGAGAGAGAGAGAGAGAGAGAGAGAGAGAGAGAGAGAGAGAGAGAGAGAGGGGACAGGATGCAAAAGTGAACAAGAGGGCAGAAAGAGGTTGGAACTCATCCTTTTACCAGGACCTCACTCCCATAATAATCGACCTACTCCCATATTATCATCAATCCATTCATGAGGATGGAGCCCTCATGGCCCAAACACCTCCCACTCTTCCCCACCTCCCAACACTGTTGTATTGAGGATTAAGATTCCATGTGTGGACCCTGACA